TATTTCCAAAATCTGAAGCAATTCAATTAATTTCTTAGTATATGAGTAATTAGTATTCCAATGAAATAGTCGCTGCTAAAATGTTCATGCCATAATTTTCAACTAATTTGGGCACGAAATTTATGGACCTCTCCAATGCCAAATCCCTTAAAGGCGATATGTTAGGTACTAAATGACATAGAATAATGACTAAAAAACAATTTTCTTAATTAAAATCAGTATAAATTGGTAACAAAAATTTTCTATTGCCAATAGGATTCTAAGCAGTTTGATGTTAAATTTCTAATGTGCTTTTACTCAATTATTTTGCAATTATTTCATTTGACAAAATATAAATTAATTAGTGTAAATAATTTATTGACTAAAGATTAATTTGTTTATAATTACTTCCATCATTTACCTCCTAACAGATAAAGGGATCCTTTATATTTAGAGTTCTGGTTTTGAATCTCATTTTCATCTACAAATTTACATTTTTTAGCTCAACTTCTTTTTTGTTTTAAAATTTAAAATCTAAAAATGGAATTTCTGGACACATTTGAATGTTTACTAACTCTTTTTTGGGTGTTAGACAGTGCACTGAAAAAAATTAAACATTTAGTTAATTGGTTTAATTCAAATACTAATGTGAATATAGATATTTGTGCCATTTTAAACCGAACAAAATACCAAAAACATTTTTTCTTACATGTTTTTTTCTCTAACAAAATTCTCCTGCTTAGGCCGGTCCGATATTAACAAGTCTACTTAATACTCATTAAATTTAATTTTGCATTCCCGCTTATTATTTATTCAACGATTTTTGGTTACTCATCAGTGTAATTAACTTGTGGCGTCAATTAGTTTGATTGGTGTTTGGAATTGCTCCAAGTCAAAGAGCCAATTTAGCTAGTCTAGACCTTAGGAGTTCAACATCTTCGGTATTCATCAAGTTAATAATAGTTCGCATAAATTTACAAAAAAATTTGAAATTGTTCTAGACTAAATGAAATAGTTCTAGAACAGTTCTAGAAACGCTTTTAATATTGAATTTTTGTTGTTGCAACAAGTTGCAATCACTTTACTGGCGCCACATTTGGAGGACTCGGATCATCTCTAAAATAAAGGTTTTTTCATTCCAAAACTGAGATAATATTAGAAATTTTACTGAAAACAAATCTTTAACATTATCTATTCCACTGTTTTGCCTCCTTTCTCGTTTTTTTCTAAATGTTACTTGCCAATATGAAAAGTGGAGATTGTAATTTGAAATTTTTATCAAAATATAGACAACGCCGTTATAGAAGGTGAAAAAAATGTATGCTGTGAACTGTGAACAAAAAATCCGTTTTACAAACATATTGTGCTCAGATTATGAACAAAACATATCGTCCTAAATGTTTACATGTAACTGGTTCCAGCATGTTTCCTTTTCTCACCTGAAGACGAAATCTTGTGATCTCTGACTCAAACAGAGTCGGAGAAAACGGCGCCTTAATTTTTATCCTACATTCTTCTTTATCCGAACTCAGTTCTTAACCATCCACCATCATTGAAAGGATTCAAAATAATAGTGTGTAATATCGGCCAAGGGACGATTCTCACGAAAAATGTTCCCATGGCCTTTATCCGGCTCAGTTAAACGCTAAGGGGCAGGTAAAATGCCGAGGGTTTAAGTTCATACTTCTGGGCCACTTGTAGTTCTTACGCACCTTCAAGAAAAAAAACCCAACGTGTAAAAAAAGCATTGATGTTTACAGAAATAAACGCTTTTTTCAATTGGCTTAAGGAGACTTTAATAGTTGTGATTGTCCTGTTATTGCGTTCTATCATACCCCATTGATTTAGAGATTGTTATTTAATTTTGCACTGATTTTGGTGCATAAAATATTAATTTTGCCTTTACTGAAATTGATGTGGTTTCCTATTTGTGATTCTCAATTTTTCGTGCCCTTAAACTTTTGAAGATAATTAACTGTTTTATTGCTGCTTTTCCAATGCTGAAAAGTAAAATAAATACACAATCTTTTTGATCGCAGTGTATTATTCCAAGAAAATCTTTCTGTTCCAGTTACTGTCCGCATAAAATATGTTTAGACTCCGCACTGAATTGAATATTTTGAAACAGTTTTGCATTTTAAAGCGTGATTAATCCGTGGCTTGTCTACAAATATGTCTGTAATAATACGGGTTATTTTACTTCTCTTTTTATCTGTAGGAAAGTCAGACCGCTAATTAACATTCAGCACCTTGCGGCGCAGGTGATACACTTTAAATATATAATCGGAAAGTAAAACATCTGCCTCAAATTATGTAAAGATTTGATGGTTTGACTGAACTGGTTAAAATACGATTCGTTAATATGCAATACTCCGATTTATTGAACTGAAAAGTTTGCTAAACCATAGATATTTCTTGATTGTTTTATACTAATTGCTTTTTTATTATTTACATTTTTTCAACGTTTATGTTATTATGCCATATAAAATTATTATTTATAATTCTTAGTTAAACATTTATCACGACTTTGTAAGACATAATTTGCAAAAAATACGTAAAGTTTCAAGAAACACCCTTACAAATCTCGAAGCAAAAATAATTTGTTGGGTAAAGACTAGTTTTTTCGTTCATCTTAAAATCTACACAGATGTTTTTAACATTTTTGTAGTTATTTCTTATATTGTAAAAGTTTTCACTGATACCCTGACTAAAGTTCGTTTTTTTTAGAAACTCCGCGTAAGACCACAGTTATCGGCTAGTAAACCTTATTCGCAAATCTCGATTCGTCTTTTTCGTTGTATAAATAAGATGAAGGGATGATATGAACAACTATGAACAGATTATATCGTAGTGGAAAACTTCTTCGGCTGGTTTTTTTATGGTAATGGTACTTTCAATATAAAAAATTTTCGTAACTTAAAGCAAAGATCGTTATTTTTCTTTCCGAACTGTTAAGTATTCCAATAGGCTACAAATCAAAGATGGGACCATACAAAAATGAACTAAAAATGTCATTATTTTTCTCGTGAGCCCCCCTTAACACGTTCACTGTCCTACGACCCACCTATGGGTCGTAAATATGTGTTCTCTTATGATAAAATATTAAGATGGACGTATGAGTATACTGTTGTATTTGTTAAAAGGACTCAGAAAAAAAAAAATCAAATTTTTGGTAAAAAAAGCATTCTAATATTCAGTTTATTACCTGAGATACTGCTTATACAAAATTAGCATTCAAAATAAAAATATTTTTTTGTAACGCAATAAACTTATTAAAATTTAAAGCCCAAAATTAACAAGAGAAGAAGGTCAATTATTTTTACCAATTAATAAATCAAAATCAATGATTTTCTGCGAAACAAGGAATACAATTTGCTTGAGTGCACTAACGACAAAAAGATTAAACTTTTTTAGTTTTTCTACAAGCTTTTCTCGAACTTAAACGATTTCTTAGCTTTGTGTAGCATCCATGACAGCATTTCCTATATATTCTATAACCTTCATGTCTAGGTAGTTCCTCTAGCTTGTGAATTCCTTCCTGCTTTTTTGTTCTTCATTTTTTTTTAATTCTTCATCTTTTCATTTGTTCTAAGCAGGCTGCGAATAAGAGATTCCCTAATTTTTAATGTGGATAGCTGATCTTTTTCTGGACACATATAATTTCCAATACATACGTATTGATAACAAGTGTCCCACAAATTATTTCAATAGCCACTTTTTTATACCATACCCAAGATTTTCGGAGACAAGTGTAATAACTAGATGGTTGGTCAGAGCTTTCTACATCCTGCTTTCCTTTATTGTAGTCCAATATTGCTAGTGGCTTCACTTTGTCTTCTCCATTTCTTTTTTTCCCATACACTTTCATTTGATCATCGTGGCCAGTGGAAAGAATATGGACATCACGTTAATCACGCCACTTAAGAAAAGTAATAAACATATGTTGTGGTGCAATTATCTGGCCCGTTTGTAATTTGTAGTCAACTACATTCTTACGAAGATCCAATCTATTTTTTCTTATGGAACCTAATAAATTGGTTTTTATTTCAAACAGGTATCTGGCTAGTGGAATACTCGTATAATATTTGTCTGTTATAACCAATCTTCCAGCATTTAATAGAACTTCAATCAGTTCGATTACGGTATTGCCAGGAAGATCTAACCCTTCGCGTTTTTCATTTTGTCCATGATATATTTTTAAGTCTCAAGTGTATCCAAATGATGAACACTTTGAAAACTTTTATATCATATCTATGAGCTTTTGATGGATTATACTGCCGAAACTTAAGACGACCTCTAAAAGGAATCATAGTTTCATCCACTTCAACAACTTTATCACCAAGAGAATACAAACTTTTCATGTTATTCCTAATAGGACTCCAATAAGGGTGCAATTTTTGGCAGGCGGTTTCCTGATGGAACAGTTTTGTCTTCGAAATGCCAACATTTTAACAATAATGTAAAACGGTAGTATTTTATGGGAATGCAGTAAAAAAGTTCATGGTAATAGAGGGGGTTCTTTTTCCAATATTGTTATAATGTTGGGAAGTTTAACACAAAATAAATATTACAAAAAAATACCTAGGTATTTGAAAATTTTACTTAAAAGTTAAACCTTCATAACGCAAACGGAACAAGTTAGTCCGAATTTCAAAGAAAACAGAAACAAAGTCAAAGAAATTTGAACTACTTGCACATAGAAATTATAGTTATGAAGGTTCATTTTATAAACGTTTAGTTGTACTTACCAAGAAATGTTTCAATTTCTTCTCTGTTTGTATCGTACCACCTGGAAATTCTTGCTTACCGGACTAAACGTTTTTGGCATCTAAGTTCTACAGCATAGTTATTTGTTTGTTCAACTATTAGGTCAATAATATCATCAGTCATAAACAACATAAAATATATATATCGGTTCCATATTATGAGTGACTAAATTGGTAGGTATATGTGCCCCACTAAAAGCAGATCTTGAGAAAGGCAGTACGGGTGATCTCCAAAAATCCAGGTCATTCCCCTCTGCTCCACTGTCCGGATCTACTTCACTACTGTCAGCATACACTAAAATGCAAAACTGACCTCGTTCTGCGCATGCTCCAACGATTATGAGAAACGATAGATTGCCAATACGACTTAACCTTAAGATTGACCACATTGTTGACAATTGTTGATCTGAATCTGAACTGTATATATAAATAATCTTTATTTACAGAAAAAGGCTATCGACCCAATCGGTCTTTCTGCCCTCTGAAGTATTAAACATGTTTAGGAGGTTCAAAATTCAAGTATACTCTGGAGTCTGAAAGGTATATAATATAGTGGTTCTAGAGTTATACGGCAGCTGTTTATCTTTTGAGTTGCCATTTATTTTGCAGGACGAAATTTTAATACTCTCTTTGCGACCAAACTGATTCAACTGTGTCGGGTAGAAGGTAGAAGTGGCGATATCATAAATTGTCACCCAGATGCAAAGCAAGAAATAAACAACCATTCAATGTTGTTCCATTGAAGTTGCAATCAACATCTTAATAATGTTCATGTCTTATTTACTACAGAATTGCTGTGGGGACCTTGTATCTATGTAACGTATGTCCTACGAATGTAAGAGAACTTCATTTTCTTTCCTATTTAAAATTTTTAATGCTTTCCTTTTTTGGCTTTCTGATAATTTAGGATTTGTTAGGACATGTAGAGTGCGTAATGTATGTCCTATTTGGTGATGTACACAATAAACCTTTTTGAGTTGGAGTTGTTTATTATTTCTCTATGTGTTACTAAGTTTAATTTTTTAACAGTTACCGAACATAAAGTTGAAGTTTTGTTTATAGGAGTTTATGCTCTGCACTTAAAGTGGAATTTAAAAAAGTTGTAAGAAATTGTAATTGTTGTAAATAAAAATAATAAAATAAAAATAGTGTAATGAAAATAATAGGTATGCTTTTATGCTGAGAGCCATCTATTTAATCATTAAATTACAAATTACCTGAAAACCGTGAATAACAAAAGTTTAAAAAATACGGAAACTAATCCGCAGTGGTTAGAAAAGGAATACAGGTACAGATACCCAAAAAGGGAAGCGGCGTGTAGGTAATCAGAGTAAATAGTAAGTAAACATCTCCCTTTCAGATCGACAATGTAGTGAATCTTAGGTTAGGTCCTCATAAACGTTGGAGCATGCGCAGCAAGAGGTTAGTTTTACATTTTGATGTATGCTACTACTGTCTTGGTCACTTTCATCTTGACTGGCACTATTCATTATGTCATCAAAACTTGAATCCTCATCTTCGTAGTCACTATGGTAAGTCGGGTCCAGAACACTGTCGCCGAAATGAAAGTCACTATTGGAACTTAATTCTGATATATTTTCCGCTAGATCTAATAACTCTTTGTCGGCCAGTTTACGTTTTCGTCCGGCCATTGTTATATTCATAAAAATACACGCTTAATTTAAATAAATAAACACTAGCTTTTAGGAGTATGGAAAGACAATTTCCTAATTTACCACATGTTACTCTGCAAACTAAAACAAATATCAGGTGATTACAAAGTGTTGCCATATTGTTAAAAATGTACGACCCACATGAGGGTCGTAGGACATAGTACGTATGATAAAATTGTCACAACGTCCTACGATCCATATATGGGGCAGTTAAATGGGGACATATGAAAATTGGCGGGAAAACACTGTTAGGACAGTGAACGTGTTAAATCGAACTACTCTAATTTTGAATCACCTTGTATATTAAGTAATAGGGACAGATGTGTAAAAAATAAATAAATAAATAATAAATAAATAAATAAATAAAACAACTGCAAACAAACCGATTTATTTAATAAGTTAAGTGTTTCATTCAGTTTTTGCCATTTGTGCTTCGTACATATGCTTTATTAGCACTTGCCATCAAAAAAATTAAAATTCATTAAAAATTATCTTTCCATTTTTTATAGTGCAGTTCGTCATAGAACCAGATAGAGCAGCTTGGATTAAATATGGAGACATTGTCCGCTTTTACATTATTATGCAAATTTCATTCCAAATGCGGCTCAGCTAAATTAGTTTTTTCTATATGGATGTACCTATTTTGTATGTATGTATGTGTCTATAGGCTCAAATAATCCGTAGCCGACAATACGCCGCAAGTGTTTTTATTAAAGCGTATGTTTATATATTGCGTTTCGGTTTCAATATGCATAATTGTTGTAATTGCATAAAGACGGTTTTGCTGGATTTAGTATCGTAAACATAGATCAAAACTCAGTTTTTTCAGAAAGTTACTTTATAACGCAAGATTTAACACTTTAGGGTTCCACAATCTTAGAAATTTGGTATTGCCTTGCTTAAAAATTGTAGTAATAAAAGAATGTTACTAAGAAATTTATAATTAGCTGAGTTGCTTTGCTGACTACTGCGCTCTCGCTAAACAATGATTGAACTTGTAGATAATTGCATATATTTTATAAGGGCGGATCCAGCTTTAAAGTTCAGGGGGAAGTCATGCAGTAGAGATGCAGTTAGGACAGGCTTTAATTCAATTACAATAATAATTGTAATTAAAAAAGTATTTTATTGTTATATGTAGTAGTAACTTTAATTAAATCACAAAATCAATTTTCTTATATTGCCTTCTCACAGAACGAATTATGACTTCCTCCACTTCAATCGGTATGGTTTTGTGGAGTTGGAAAAGTGCTAGTTGAGTTAAGCGCTCTGCTGCCATTGAAACTCTCTAAAAATTCGGTAAAAATCTGATCGAAAAACTCGTTCAAAAATAAAGCGACTTATTCCACGTCTCTTTTGCCCGGTTTCTGGTAGATTCCCCTTATTGGTTCGATAACTATCGGTCCGCTAAAGTTGTAGGTTCTATAACTTATGGTAGGTATCTCAACGCGTCTTTACGTCAAAGCTCGTGGTCCATAGCTATCGAGTCGATAAAGTAGGTAAAGCTTTGTGGGAAAAGCCATATAACGAAGAAGAAGAGACGGGTTAGAGTCACTTGCTTTGCCTCGTGTTATCAGTCTGTGGTGTTATCCATTTGCTTAAATGCAAAACATTTTTTATTATGTAATACATAGATCGATATAAAATATATTACAGCCAACTCTAACAAACCAAATTAAAAGATTTACAAGTTAAGTAAAAAATCTTATTACTGCTCTTCGGACTGCAGAACTACCTTCATTTTCTTCTTCAAAAATGTCATTTACTTCCGCGTTGCAGTTTATTTCTTCAAAGTCTTCAACATCATTCCTCCTAATGGCTATGTTGTGAAGCACTGCAGTAGCTACTAATATCGGTAATGTCAGTTCTTCAATGTCAGTCTCAAACCCCTTGCAAGGCATGAAAACCGTCTCTTCCAGACACCAAACGTTCGTTCAACCGTATTTCTAGTTGCTATATGCAGTGTTGTATTGAATTTTTTGTGGTAACATAGGATTTAAGAGGGGAGTTAATAAATAATCCGTGTAGGGATAAGCACTATCACCTAGTATATACGAATTTTTAAACATTCCTTGCTCCAATTGGGCAGAAATGAATGATGCATTAAAGATTGTACTGTCATTTGTAGAACCAGGCCATCGTGAAACAATGTTTCGTATACATAATTTTGCATCACAAATGACCTGTACATTGACAGAAAAATAT